ATAACGAAAATGATAGGCTGCAATAATCGTGTTCACTTTTAACTGCGTGCATTTATCTAGCCGTATGTTGATTTCGCGGGATTGTTTTAATGCCTCGATCGCGGTTCTCTGATGTAGACTGTCCACGTGACGTTCATGCAATAAATAGTCTCCACACAAGCTGCCTGGAAAAATCTGTTTTACAGGCGATCCTTCTAAACTGAATGGAAAAATCAATGGATTTAACTCATTCTAGAAAAGTAGTGACGCTATCAGAATCGACGAGATATGTCCTGAAAAGCTTAAACCGTTAGCTGAACAAGGCATACTGTGGCTAAGATGTGCCTATGAAACAGCAATTGTGAGAAAACAACAGTGAAATGGAGAACGGCGATCATAATAAGCTTTTTCAAGAAGGAGGACTACGGGGAGCGCTCCAACTGCCAGCGCATTACTTTACTAAGCCTCCCGGGTAAAGTCTACGCAAAGGCGCTAAAAAATAAGTGCCGCGGAATAATTGACTCCAAAAAATTTCTCGTGAACGCATCTGAAATGAAAGACCTAGTGCTTTCTGATTCTCCTGCCCGTTGCTCTCTTCGGATAAACGGAGAAGCAGCGGAGCAGGTGGAGAAGTTTAAGAACCTCCGGGTCTTGTTTACTGGTGACCGAATGTAAGAAGAAGAGATCGACCGACGAACTGGAAAGGCTAGCGGCATCCAGCGCAGACTAGTCCGTAAATAAGGTAGATCTGAGACTAAAGACGAAGCTTTCTATGTTCAAGTCGAGCTTAATCGTGATGCTCACCTACGATCATGAGTCGTGGGCCAACGTCGATTCTGGGTTGAAGCGGCTTAAATGAGCTTTCAGAGATGAATCACGGGGCTTACGCGTGTCTACATGTTCCAGAGTACAGACAAAAGCGAAAACCCCGGTTCGCCATAGAAGTTGAAGTCGCAGCTTCAATAGTTTGGGTCTTCGTCTGCAGGTTTTGCGAATGCTTCGAGAAGGGAAGGCATAACAGCTACTATTTGCCCAAATGACCGACCCGGAGAACCCGGAGAGGACGAGAAATGACATGGGGCAAGTGTCTCGCCAGAATGCTCCAGATCTTGGTTATCATCGGCCGAAGCGATAAAGAAGTCGAGTCAGGATAGAGAAAGTCGAGAAACTGTGTGACTCTGCCTGCACAACCAGAAAGAATAAGTGGGAATCGAAACAGACTTGCCGATTGATAACGCAGTTCTTATCGTAGTGATATATAATTGATCTTACATTAAACATCGCAGCAAAAACAACAGAAACATGATGAAAAACAAAATGTCGATAGCTGAGACTGCTAATCAGCATATCATGGTACATCTTACCATAAATGTAGGTATGAAGACAAATAATTTTGGCAATGATTATCATGGTGAAGATCGGTACGGCGAGCATCATGATGAGAA